GGGGGGAACGGGGACGGGGACGGGGACGGGCAGAATGGGTCACCACAAGCCCTGTGACAAGGTGTGGTGGCCAAAGGCACTGAGCGGTCAGTATTTAAGGGACATTTTTAGCCCCATTTCAGGGGGGAGGTGGCACCAAGCGTCAGTGGGAACCAGACTCCAGCCGCGTTCACACGTGCACTGGCAGAGCGGAGCTGCCCCAGAACAGTCTCCCCTTTAGAGCCACTCGCTTAAACCAAAGCTTGCGGGCACACGGACACCTCGGTCAGCCCACAGGCTTTCTACAGGGCTGACCAGCTGCGTAAACAGTAAATACACACTTGCCCTGTGTAATTTTTTTAGAATCAAAGAATAGTTTGCAACAAGCCGGCACCTCCATAAATGCAGGCTGGGGCATGGAGAGCAGCCGTCCCAGAAAGACTTGGGGGTACTGGTGGGTGAAAAGCTGGACATGAGGTGGCAATGTACATCCATTGCTGCCTCCAGCTCTGGAGCCTCCAACATAAGGACACAGACCTGTTGGAGCAGGACCAGAGGAGGCCACGAAGATGCTCCAAGGGCTGGAGCACCTCTGCTGTGGAGACAGGCTGAGATCGTTGGGGTTGTTCAGCCTGGAGAAGAGAAAGCTCTAGGGAGACCTTAGAGCCCCATCCAGTCCCTAAAGGGGCTACAGGAAAGATGGCGAAAGACCTTGTGACAGGACAAGGGGAAATAGCTTTAAACTAAGAGAGGGAAGATTCAGACTAGACAGAAAGAAGAATTTTTTTTACATTGAGGGTGGTGAGATACTGGCCCAGGTTGCCCAGAGAGGTGGTAGATGCCCCATCCCTGGAAACATTCCAGATCAGGCTCAACTGGGCTCTGATCAACCTGAGTGAGTTGAAGATGTCCCTGCTCATTGCAGGCGGGCTGAACTAGGTGACCTTTAAAGGTCCCTTCCAACCCAAACTATTATACGATTTTATGATCTTCAACTAGATCAGGTTGCTCAGAACCCTGTTTTTTTTCTAGCATCCCCTATTCTCCCAGACCTAGTATTTCCCCAAACTGCCACCTTCTGTTGAGCTCACCTCTTGCTAAGCCGTGGTCCTGGGGAGCAAGTGCTCGTCCCCTTCCCTCAGTTAAACCTTTGTACTTTCAGGCGCTGCTGGAGCTTGTGCGGAGCCCCAAAACTGCCTTTTATGCCGGCTGCACTGGTTCCTGTTCCTTTTACACTTGGAATTCAGAGGCTGTGAGCGTTGCTGTTGTACCACCACAAGCTCCATGGATGGAGCTGGCCAGGCTACAGACACCCGCTGAACCAGCACAGAGTTGAGCTTTCACACTACAGTAAGAGAAGCATCAGCACCACCATGCCCCGTTCGCTGTGTTGCGTGTTGGCTAGTCCATACCTCATGGATGGTTACTCTTGACTGTGTTAATCAATCGTAGATTTCTGCTGTCATGCTGAGCACGTTTCCTCCTGCTGTGTGGAACTGGCTATGCCTGCTGCAGCCCTCTCCGTACCCCTGTAAATGGGGCCTGAGCAAGGCAGAGGATGTCATGTATCAGGCCAGGACACCCCACTGGAAAGAAAATCTGTTGGCATGGGCAGAAAAATCTAGTGAGCACCAGAACAGATGAGGAAAACAGATGGGGGTGGGTGGAAAAAAAGGGAGAGGGGGAGAGACTGGAATAAAAAGCAAGATACTTATGCAACCTAAGGGACAAAGTAGCTTTGGGCCTCCTTTTTTCCAGTATCTAACAGAAGTTGCTGTTAGATGGGCACAGCTGTAAGCACATGGTTCTCCAGCAAAGCCCCACCTCTTTCGCACACGTGTGTGTCAGAAGAAAGACCACCTGCTGTCACTCAGCACAGGCGTGCAGCAGTGTAGCTGGCAAGACTGGGCTTTTCACAGTACAGAAACTACCTTGGACTAAAATGGTGGGGCAGGGTTGGGAAAACACAAGAAGTCAGTCAACTAACACAGGAATGTTAACTGTAAATCTGAAGACAGTTATGCTTCCTCCCCTCTAGGGTTTTGGTTCGTTCACAGCAGGATTTCCCTCATCAAAGGCAATGGGTATGTGTCGCTTTCAGAAAATTTGTAGTTTATATGTAGCAATTTGTTTTTTTAATATCTGCATTTTAAGGGTTCATGTCTAGTGGGGAACTGATGGGTACTCTTAACATCATCTTCTGGTTTGTATCAATGCTATCTTCATTTAGCAGAAAATAAACACACTCAAGTGGTTAAGTGACCCACCCAAATGTCTCTAGTTTAGAGACTTCAGCCCCTGTCAGTTCTGATAACTTCATAACATCATTCCCTTCAAAAAAAAACATTTTGGGTTATTTCCATGACTGCCTTTGAGGGCAGTTTCCAAACCTCATTCATGGCTTCTTGCTTCACTGATTTATTAGTCTTGTACCATTGCTTAGGACTGCTTTAGATGAAGGCTGAGGATGCTTTTAGTCATCAGAACTGACGTATTTGAGAAGTTAAGATGCAGTCTCTCACTGTGACTGGTAGAAAGAAAACCATCCAGCGTTCAATGTGGCCAGTTCTGCAAGGACTTGTGAAGCACGTTCACGTGGTTTTAGTTTGTATTACTAATACATAATTTTAACTTCTAGATGACAGAACATTACCTGTGAATAAATGGAACGAGAACGATGTCAAATGCTGGCTAGAATCTACTGGAATCAAGAAAGAGTATGTAGAAAAACTATATGCGGAAGAAGTGACAGGTCCAGTGCTAATGGACCTGGATGAATCTTTCCTCAAAGACATGGGTATGAAGGGAGGCCAAATCCACATGTTAATCCGCAAGAGAAACAAACTTCTGCAGGTACAGGAAAATGAACAGCAAGCCAAGCCTTCCAGCAGCAAAGTGTCTGACAAAACTGATGCACAAACAGATCCAGTCAGACCCAGAAATGCCCCTGCTGAAGGAACTTCAAGTGGAGACAGTTGTGGTCCAGTAGGTAAAACTAGCAGAGACAACACAGCTGCTACTTCTGGCAAGAGGCAAAGGAGAAGTAACAATTCTCAAAGTACTGATGAAGTTTTAGAACTCAGCAACTGTCGACCATTTAGAAGTCAGAATACCGATTTCAAATATGTGAAAAACAGAGTTCTTGCTCCAGAATCAGGAGTCAATGATTTAATCACTCCTTGCCATGAATACAAATCTTTTGCCATTGCTGCAGAACTGAACAAAAATCAATTGCAATCAAAATTTGCCTGCGAAGTGATACGATTTGCTTCAGCCTGCATGAACATTCGAACAAATGGCACCATACATTTCGGTATTATGGACAGCGTTGTGGATAACGGTTGGAAACACGGACAGATCATTGGCATAAAGGTCAAAGAGCGAGAATACTATGTTGATGCATTAGATTATATAGAAAAATGTTTTGCTGAAAATGTACAAGAAATTGCAAGGAAATGTATTCACCCACCTGTTTTTGTTGAAGTGATTTCAAAAGACTCTCAGGAACAGAGATTTGTGGTGGAGGTTGACATTGAACCAACACTGAGTTTAGTAAAGAACAGAGTTTTTGAAGTCTGTTTGCCAAAATACAATGAAGACAGCCAGAAGGTGACCATGACAAAAGACCGAACTCTCTACCAGAGACTAGGAGCAAAGTCTGAACCTGTAAAGCACAACGATGTATTTGCTTTTTATACAGGGTTACAAGACAGGGATGCTCAAAGAGAAAAAGCTGAGCTCTCCAGTGCAGAAGTACCTACAGAAATACCTCAAAATTTAGGAAGAAAGTTATCAATTCTACTAAATGATGGCAAAAGCTATATAGATGATTCCTTACGGTACATCCTTGTCACAAACAGATGTGAAAAGGACAATCTGAACTATATCAACTTTTTAATGCACTTGAACATTTTCTGCGTCTTTGACTTTGATGAAGATTCTAATGTGTCAGGACTGTATAGCAAGTACAAAGAACACCACGCAACAAGGTCTTATTTTTTACCGGATTTTTCCAATGAAAGTAAGACTGGCATCCCTCCCTCTCAGAAACACTCGAGCCTGTTTGATCAGACCAGCTGGATATTCTGCAATGGGCGCAGTGACTTCCTTGGCAATGAAAAACCTTGTGATGAAAATACATGGATTAGAACAAAAAAAACATACCTTAAGAAAGCAATCATTCGTATCTGTGACGAAATCCTGCCGAAGCGGTCTTTCATTGTGCTTTTCCTATTGCTATCACCAGTGCAGAAACCACTTGTGGACACTTTTCAGGAATTCTATTCAGAGATGAACGGCACAGAGTACATCGTTTGCATTGCAGAGTCCAGAGACAACTATGAGAAGTGGGCTAACCTAGCTCAGACATCCTGCAGCATTGAGACACTGGAACAATGCAGCATCGTGGGCATGAAACTGAGTCACGTAGATGCCACCATTCAAGCAATGCTGCCTTCTATGGCACAACCCAGACATCTGCCAGTTTCCAGTAGAGGGGTATGTACACTTTCCTCGCTGGAAGAAGAGAAACTGTTTTCCCTTGAAATCCTTTGTGTTGACCAATGCGATGATATAAAATTAGATTTTTTGACTGAAAAAGAAATACAGGAAATAGAACAAAATTTTTACCGAGGGAGAAAAATCATCTGGAAAAACTTCTGGCTTGCCGATAAAAGATGCTGTGGGGAAATCATTGAACGCGAAGCATGTCAGGATGCCAGCAAACTCCTAGATGACATTTTACGAGGAAGCGGACACAACTGCTCTGTGGCCAAACTAAAGATATTTCACCATCCTGGGAGTGGTGGAAGCACAATAGCACGACAAGTTCTATGGAAAAGAAGAAAGCACTTACGATGTGCTGTTATCAAAACGTCCTACTCGCCTGCAACTGTTTGTGAGCATGCACTTGCATTTAGAGAGTATGAAGAAAAAGAAATTAGTCATTGTCTTCCTGTGCTTCTCCTGATCGAAGATTATGATGAAGACTATTTAGAAGAACTAAGGTATGAGTTAATAGATGCTGTAGCATCTAGGAAAATTAATTCCCCCAGACCTTACTTCATCCTCCTGTGTTGTAGACGATCCAATGACCCTGAAAGGCTTTGCAAGGCTTCTCCACTGGACACAGTTGCTGTCACTCACAAGCTGACAGACTCAGAGAAAAGTCTGTTCAGAACTAAACTTGAAAAACTGAAGCAGAAAGATGTCAAGCCAGAATTCATACTTACATTTGTCCTGATGTGTGAGGAGTTCAATGAAACATATGTGAGAGACTTTGTAGAGCACATATTGCAAGACATAGACCGTTCTTCTCGTGATACACGTTTGATGTGTTATGTGGCATTGCTTAATTTTTACGTACCTAATTCATATGTTTCATTGTCACACTGTGAGGCTTTTCTGGGACTGGGGGTATATACAGAAAGAACATCAAGAGCGTATGATTTCAAAAGTCACTTGAGTGAACAAGCAAGAATGATTTTTATTGAGCTAAGGGAAAGTACCACCTATATTTCATCTGTTCAGATAATACACTGTCTGGTTGCAAAAGAAATTCTGCATCAGCTTTCAGGGAATGAACCTCAAAGTCAACTTGCAATGACGCTTCTTCAGGAAAAGACACTCTTTGGAAACAGATTTGGACGAGATGAATTCATAAAGTTCATCAGAGATCTGTTTATTCGACGTGATAAAAGAAGCAGGGGTGACAATACTGACACTCTTTTCTCCCCATTCATTGAACACGTCTGTAAAGCTGAAGGCTGTGAAAAAGCTATAGCTATTTTAAAAGCTGCATATGAACTCCTTGGAAAAGATCCTTTTTTTGCCCAGCAACTTGCTAGACTACATTACAACAATGAAAAATTTAAAGATGCAGAATATTGGGCAGGGGTGGCAAAATTTCATTTGCCAAATGATTCTTTTATTTTAGATACAGAAGGTCAAGTCTACAGGAAATGGTTTAGTTTCACTGTGGATAAAATGACACAGGAGGACACTCCTGAAAGCATCATTCAAAAGATAGAGATAGCTCTTAAAGCTATGAAATGCTTCAGGGCTGCACAACAGGCTGCAAAAGCAGAACGTGACAGTATGAACAATGCTGGCTATTTTGGAGAAGTAGAAGTAGGATGTCGTCTTCTTAGATTTTTGTCCACAATCTATGTATTTCGCAGAAATCCAGAGGGGGAATATTCTGAGCTTGTAAAATACCTGATCACAGATTACATTCCTAAAGACATTGAAAAACCATGGGGAAGGCTTCACTCCCGCCTAAAAGGCTTACGCCAGAACCTGTACAATGCTCTGGAATGGATTTCAGAAGACCTAAGTTATTTCCAAACAGATAAAACCCATGAGAAGGAAGAGGAAGATGAAAAAGATGAAAAAGAAGAACAAATTTATAATCCCAGAAAATGGCTAAAAAGACAGTCAGAGGTATATGCCAAATTCTTCATCTCTGCATCACTTATTGAGGAAAGCAACGGTGGCCCCGAGAGCCAGTTGATTAGACGCATGAATATTTATAAGAGCGGCGGAGGTAGCGTCACTAATATCCTGTCTTTCTTAACTGATAAGAAAGAGAATAGGTCAGCTGAAAAGATAGAAAAGATCCTTAGTTTCTATACAGAAAACCCCCAAAGAGACAGGCTAGAAGACAACGATCTGATCAATTATATTTTGTGCCACATCACATTAGCATGCTTAGCACCAGGATCAGCCAAACTTCTTCCAGTGCAAACTCTTCGTGAGCTCAGTATAAGATTTTTTAAAGGAAAAAGACCATTTCCAGCAAGTGCCTATTTTTTGCTCACCCTGCTATACTGGCCAGATGAGGCACTAGACAAAGAGCCTAATCCAGAAAAAGATGAAATTCTAAACTTAGCCCTTCAAACCCTGAAACGTTTATATGACATCAAGATGAAAGATGTTCCTACCAGAAAGAAACGAATCTACACTCACTTTTTTCTGGGAAAGGGTTATGGCTTACGTAAGATTGTGCACAAAACTAAAATTGAGAAATTAATTAGTGGATCCTTGGATGAGAGGAGAATGAAATGGCTACATGGAACTGTATGGAATATTGGCGAGATTCGTGACATTCTCAAAAGAGTTTCTGGTTGGACCAAGGACAGAAATTTATTTATACGTGGGCATGTAAAAGAATTTCCCATCTTGCCACTCCATCGTGATTCAGTGCCCCCTGGAAATGAAAATGTGACTTTTTATTTAGGCTTTTCATTTAATGGTCTTGTTGCTTTCAATATTGAGGTTGAAAATAATCCAACTGTCAGCAGAGTACAAAATATTTAGAAGAATAGAAGCACCTACAATGCTTTTTGCAGATACAGCAATGAAATTGCCCATTGTCACATTTTTTAAAAAAAGTGCACTGCACTGTCTGAACACTAGGGAGCAACATAATCACAATTAACTACTACAATAATGACCAAGTATGTAAAAAAAATTTGAAACCTACTAGGAAAATATACCTTGAAATGGAAGCCTTTGATACTTTCGGAGACAACAAAAGCAAGATTTCAAACTTAAGACAGCAATTATTGCAATACTTGCTTGGGCACTGGGAAGATGGGGCAGGGAAGACAACAGACCCACTATTTCTCCTCCCCAACCCTAAATATTTGGAGAACTGAGCTCCGGAATAAACAGGTAGAGTGGGGATCCCTTTCTTCTCAGCTCACAGATTAGGATTTTAAATTAGCTTCTGGGTGGTCCTGATCAGTAACAGAATTTTTCCACTGTAACTGTATGGTTTTTTTCTTCGTTCTGAATCAGCAACAAGAAGTTTAAGTCAACTTATAACATGTATACTACACTGGCTCTAACATACTTTGATCACTAACATGTACCATGTCTGAAATACATCTACCCATCAACTGCAAGCCAACAGCCAGTATAAAAGCAGAGAGGGAAAGTAAACAATTTTTTAGTTGACTTTGCAAACATCAGGACTGCTAAAAGACAGATCTCCAATTTAACATCGCTGATACATTGCTTCTCTATGTAAATATTACAAACCATGCTGGATATACCTGTATCTGGGGAAGGGTGCAAAGACACAGGAGCAGTTAGATATTGATGACCAAAGATTATTTGTAAGCGCTGTTATGATTTCATCATCCAAACAATTCCTGCATTTGGTGAAATGTTTTTGCAGCATTATCCAAGAAATGTCCACACCATACAAGACTCAGATTTGTCTCTTGTATATATCCATGTGTGTAGCCTGATTTACTAATTTGAAAAATGCAAAGGAGTTTGTGTCTGCAACCATCATGTCACATTAAACGTCTAATAATAAAGCTGCTTGGTATTCTTGGTTTTTCACATTATTTGATAGTATATTGTCACTAAAATTTCCAGAAAATCTGTCATACACCTTAAGTTTTAAACTAATAAACAACCTTTAGGAAGAATTACCATTTCTACAAAAGCTACAAAACCCTACCTGAAGATGTAGTTCTAATGGCAGCAAGGTATGATTTGCTTTTCCAACTTCAGTCAAGATCTGGGCATAGCCAAAAACTGCAAAAGGAATTGCAAGCCACTATGAATTCAGAAGAAGATGAAACCAAAGATTATTGTATCTAGTCCAAGCCTTCACCTTCCGGCCTGAGGAAGCAGAAACAAAGCTTCTGACTGCTGGCCAGGCAATACTTGTACCTCCCAGGCTGAAGGCCCGGGAAGGCAGGTGACAATAGCAAAGTAGACCCTGGGAGGGCTGCACATTGGCGTGGTAAATACAGGCTGGCAGATTTCACCAGGGTTAAGCAAATGCTTAAGGGTTAAGTTTAACCTTAAAGGTGTTAAGCACAAAGGCAGCTTTCCCCAAGGTGAGCTAGGAAGGTCTGCTGGAGGAGCAAACCATGACAGCATCTGAGCAGGAAGAAGCTGGAGTGCTAGAGAAAACGTCCGCTGTCCCCAACCCTTGATGCAGGGGTGGGGAGAAAGGAGCATGGGGGGGTGCGTGCACACACATGCGTGTGTTTAAAAAGCCAATTGGACAGGTTTCTTAAGTCTAGCATGGGGCATAAGGATGGCTTCAACCCGGAGCAGAAACAGGATATGCAAACTTTTTTTTCCCCCATAGTCAGTTTAGCAGAAGGACAGCAGATCAGCAACAAAAGGAAGCTACAGATTTGCTTGTCTCCAAGTACAACCCACTTTGTCTATAAACAAAAACTCATGCATGTGAGCTTTATCTTAAAACAATCAGAGAGCTAGTACAAAGTTACTTAAACCTAACATGAATGAAGGTGAATTTTGTACTTACACACACTTTGGAACAGCTAAGACTCTTTGCAATAATGATTTAAATAGGTCCTCAAGAGGAGAAAAAAAATACACAGAAATAGTGGTTCACTTCTGTTTAATCAGCGACTGTTACAAAGTGGCAGACACACATTACAGACGTGTACATGTGCAATGATCCATTCCTGAAGCATACAGTTCATAGAAGGCTCCCAATGGATGCAAATGATAGCTCCGTATTTTCTTTGAATCTTCTTTGTAAAATGAATGCTATAAAATTAAGCTAGTTACTGTTACTATTATTTGCATGCATTAAAGTGATGCACATACTTACCAGTCTCTCAATTTCTCCAATTAAATTCAGTATCAATATTTTGCCACCTGTCTTTTGAAAAGATCAATGATCCCATACCTTTCATACTACTTAACACAAAAGCAGTATCAAGGTACCAAAAAAAAACTTCCTGACACACTAACTTTTGTGGCTGTACTGCAACTGAGAGGGGACATAATTCAATCACGTGCTTTAAGGTACTTTAAGAAGGTACTAAAAACAGTTTGGAGTTCAGGTTTGCTACACAGTGACCAGAATCTCTGAAGGGGTGATTCTGAGTCATTAAGTAGAAGTCTAAAGGAAATAGCATGAGTTGACTCACTGTTCCATGTATATCATATCAGAACTGTGAAGGAAGACTTCTGAACCACATTAGACCAGACAGCTGCTTTAATGGTGTATCTGAAGTTGAGCTACAACTTCAGACTGCTCACCTGGTCATGAAAGCTCAGATTCCTAGTACTGTTCTGGTCCTATCTCAAACGAAAATAAACTTAATTCTACCAAAAAGTACTGTAACTAATTGCCATTAAAAATTTCACAAAGAGATGATGTTCTACCAGAGTTCATACTAGGATCTACCCTAGATAAATACACTTTTTGTTGATAAGACACTAGAGAACACCACTGCTCTTTAGTTACACCCACTGATTGCCAAGCTGGTGCACAACTAGTGCAGGTCAGCATCCAACCACTGTCAAAACTGAGACTTCAAAGTAATTCAGCAGCCAAAAGCAATCAGTTACTCATTCTGACTTATTACTGAGCATTGGATTAAGTATCAACTAGGGTCAACCACAGAAGTTAAAAGAAAGATGCATACATTCTCGTAATAGAATGGCCTCACAGCAAGGCATCCCTACTGTTCATGCACATCTGCCATTAAAATATATCGGCAAAGATAAGTTAAAATTTTATTATAAACTTTCCTTTTTCCTTTCTTCTTGGGAGAAACACCTACGTAACCTTATTCAAAAGTTTGTATGTAGCTAGGTTTGCAGACAAAGCAATTTAGTGTGAATGACTGAGAACTGATGGAGAAAAGATGCTAGGAGATGGGCTTCAACTGCAACTATTCTAAAACGTGGGAAGATAGAATCCCATTGAAAAACTTTTTGTTACTACGATGAACTCTGCAGTGTCGCGTAAGATTTCAAAATTCTAAAATAAACAATACCGCTGGAACCTACTCTAGACCATTCAGATGAGCTGGCAAAACTAAAGTGTCTGTTCAGCTACCACACTAGTATGATCTTTCCAATGCCTAGGTTCCTATATAACTATCCACCAATGATGTCAAAAGCTCCTCAAATTTACCTTGTGATAACATGCCCTTGAGCAGTGAATTAAAGCACAGAGTTTTACAGGTCATTCAGCTGTAAAACTATTCTAGGAGCTACAGCACAGAAAGTCTTTATCTCCCATGTTGATATGCAGGGATGAGGTACACAAAGCTTAAGTAAAAATAAATGTATGCAGCTATTCTAGAGAAGGTTGCATCTTTTAACCAATCACAAAATCTCTCCTCTTTTAAGGTGTAAAATGTTCCGTAAAATAAAAATAAAATTCCCAAATTTCCAGGAATATGGAATAGGGCAGAAGAGGCAGAGCAGTAATTCTGGAGTAAGATAAAACAGCTGGGCAAAAACACATTTGTAGGTAGCCTCTAAAGTGCTGAAACAGGCTAGCAAAAAAAAATCAGAGAAGAACAAGCTCCTGGCTACAGGCCTAACAAAAGCAAACATCTTTTGGTAGGAGACAGTAATTAGCAAGCGCTAAAGAAAAATGAAAGATTACATTACTGCTACAGATTCTCACAAACCGGAATGCTTATTCTCCAACACAATAAATACAATATCCTATAAATGGTTCACTGATAAAACAGCCTCTTTTATAATAGGCATGTTACTGAAGAAGTGACTTCAACTTTAGATCTTCATACTCTTCAGTAACACCAATGGCTATTTGTTAAGGTACAGTATTAAATTTTCCTTGCAAGTGCTTACAGGTATTACCTACCCACAAGTGTCATTAAAACCATTACAGATCTTCAAAAAAAAAAAAAAATCCAGATGTTCACTCACTACTGAAAACAGTAGTAGATAACAGATACATTTACATTTCAGAGACCAAAATTCCCCTCATGTATTTAAGTGGTATCATTTGAACAAATTATTTCAAATAGGAACATCAGGTACTTACAGATTAAACTAACCTGTACTGGCAGTGCTGTGGAATTTTTCTTCTCTACCAGTAAGTAGCAAATGCTGAAATTCTGCTGCTAGTTAACAGAAACACAAATTGTATTAAACCAAAGAGTTTAACCCATAATTTAGTTTTTCATTTAAAAAGCTGCCAAACTTCAATTACTGTAATTTGTTGCTTAAGAAAAGCATACGAAGTAAAGGCAACTATAAAACTACTTTCAGTTTGCCCTTACTTTTCTGATATTTTTCATACACAAGCCAGAAGTTACACAAGGCAATCCTGTTGTCTACCACAAACATAAAGGAAATTACAATACTTACATGCCAGGTTCCTTCATTAAACAGTCTCATAAAGTGTGTTTTCTTATTCTAGACTTTACAAATGAAAGAGCAAAATGTATTTTCTTCCACTACAATTTATGGGAAAGAAGCTAAAGAATTTAGTGCAAGTAACACATATGCAAATAACTCAATAAAAAAAGTGAAAGAAAAAGCTCTGC